TGAACATCAAAGGTTTGTTCTGGTATATTTGGCAGTGCAGAGGGACACCCTGGCACCATTTAGCTAGGAAATAACCTGGCAGTGGGTTTGAAAAAGAGATCTCAGCCAGGCTTGGCTGAAAACACTGGAAAGAAGTTTGGGAGAGAGAATCTGCTTTAGATAGGTTAGCTTGGTTAGGTTTAGTCTCTAGAATGCGTGGTATGATTTTGTTTTATATTTAACCATTTGTCCCCATCTCTCACTTTGGTTTTTACTTGAATCTTTATTCTTTCTTCAACAAACTTCCTTTTGTTTTATAATTGAACTCAAGTGCTGTGCATAATGGTATAAGGTAAAGCAGTGAACTGTGGTATGCTGTTCCTTTGGGAACAGAGGATGTGGGATTTCTGTGGGTATCCAGTGATCAGGGGCTGGAGACCACACAGGGACACTTCAAAGAGACCTGGGGGCTGAGGTGCATCTCTTGTCAACCTGCAAAAGTGAAGACAGGGTTGGTGTAGCCCAAAGGAGAGTGCCTGAGTGGCTGACAGGCTGGTTGTGTAAGGGAGCTAATACCCAGCTAGCACAGGTCAGACTCCATCATGCTGGAGGCAGGTGGTAACAAGGTGACTCACAGCCCTTGGTGTCCCGAGAAGCGACACTGGGGGATAGAAAATGAATTCCCTCAGCTGGACCAGCCCAGCTATTTGTAAATCCCTGCATTCAGGGAAGGCAACTGTTCTTCCTCTAAGTCAGAGGTGGGCAAACTATGGCCCGCGGGACCATCCTGCCCGGCCTTTGAGCTCCCGGCCGGGGAGGCTAGCCCCCGGTCCCTCCCCCGCTGCCATGCTGCTGTGTGGGCAGCGCTCTGGGTGGCGGGGCTGCGTGCTCCTGCAGGGCCGCGCAGCAGCGTGTCTGGCTCTGGCCGGGCGGCGCGGCAGCCAGACATGCTGCTCTGAGTGTCATGGTAAGGGGGTTGGGGGGACTGGATAAGGAGCAGGGTGTCCTGGGGGACAGGGAGCGGAGGATCTGGGGGGGGGCAGTCAGGGGACGGGGAATGGTGGGTTGGATAAGCGTGGGAGTCCCGGGAGGCCTGTCAGGGGGTGGGGATGTGGATAGGAATCGGGGCAGTCAGGGGACAGGGAGTGGGGGGGGGTTGGATAGGGGGTCGGGTCCCGGGGGGAGGGGGGGGCGGTTAGGGGTGGGGTGTCCCAGGAGGGGTGGTTAGGGGACAAGGAGCAGGGCGGGTTGGATGAGTTGGAGGTTGTGGGGGGGGGGGGGCAGTCAGGGGGTGGGAAGTGGGAGGGGTTGGATAGGGGGTGGGGGCCAGGCTGTTTGGGGAGGCACAGCCTTCCCTACCCACCCTCCATACAGTTTTGCAACCCCAGTGTAGCCCTCGGGCCAAAAAGTTTGCCCACCCTTGCTCTAAGTGGAGAGGGCTAATCCCCTCCCTGCCAACATCTGAATGGGGATTATATAACCTTTGGATCTTTTCCTCCTCTCCTTAACACTGCCCTTGGTCATTGCTGCATCCTCCTCCTCCTCACTGGCATTGCAACATCAGAGAGAAACCAGCTAACAGGTGACCTCAAGAGACTAACAGCTCTGACTAATGCCAGGCACAGTGCAAGTACAGAGTAAGCTTTCCCACCCAGCTCTGCTTGTGCACCTACTATATAACCCATGTCAGTCAGTTCCTAGACTTCTCCTGAGCAGACACAATTGTATGGTGATTTTGTGACATGGAGCGTCCATTAGGGATTAGGGGCCTGATCCAAAACCCCTTGGTGCCAATGGGAAGACTCCCATTGACTTTGAGGGGGCTTTGGATCAGGCCCTATTTTGAAACCACCAGCTGCATTTGAAATGTTGACCTAAACAAGAAGATATGAACTTTGAACTCCAACACTGAACGCTAGTGAATTAAACCATTTGTCTCCCAGCCTCTAAGATCAGTCCCTTTTAAAGGTGCCCTGCAAAGGGGAAAACAGTTGGGCTTATACACTCCTTTCTATCAAGTATCAGAGTAGCAGCCGTGTTAGTCTGTATCCGCAAAAAGAAGAACAGGAGTACTTGTGGCACCTTAGAGACTAACAAATTTATTAGAGCATAAGCTTTCGTGGACTACAGCCCACTTCTTCGGATGCATCTAATACATTTGTTAGTCTCTAAGGTGCCACAAGTACTCCTGTTCTTCTTCTATCAAGTAGAAACTTTAACAAAAACAAAAAAAAAACCCTTTCAGCTCCATAAAGAATATGAAAATAGCACAAGTGCCATTTCATCCTTTAGAGGGCACCTTTAAATCAGCAGAAATAAAGTCAAATATAGGAACCTGGCCAGCCTTTTTCCTATGTTTTTCTCCACTGACTCAGAGAGAGGACTTGCAGAGCCTGAGAGCTTGTCTGTCAGCATTATTTTTAACTGCAAATAAAATATATTAATCAAAACTTGGCTCCATCTAGTGAAAGACAGTATTGCCTTGTCCGCCACCCTTTCTGTTTAACAGGATATTCCTGTTTTGCTGTTGCTGGGATACTAGAGGAAATCCAAAATAGTCTCTCTCGCAATATAACTGTACATTGTGCTGTACAGCAGGTACAATGTACGAATAAAGATAACAAATTTCTGTCCCAAAGAGTTTAGTCTATGGCCCTGATCCTGAAAAGAGCTCCACACACAGGCAGTGATCTGCTTGGACAGAGCTCGTTGTAGGATTGAGTTTAAATATAGGAATGGGCACAGTCGCAATAGCAACGAGAGAGATGAGTGTGAGCATTATGGCTTGCTGGCTTCATGGAACCCATGAATTTTTTGAAGTGTGAGAGGGAGAGTGCTTGGCACATGCTACCCAGGAGATTGTTCAGTGCATGAGGGTGACATACAAGAGGGCATAAAAGCATAACTACTTAACATTCCATGGATGGTATAAATCCTCTAGTTCATATTGTCATCCAGAAACCCTGGTAATTTCACAGTTCCCTGGTACCAAAATTTTGCCCTACCCATGTGCAATTGAGGAGAAGCCTGGCTCTCAGGACTCCAGCACTTCTGTTTAAACATGCTTAAGCAATAACACACAACTTATGGAGAGAATGTCCCTCCCCTTGCTCTAGGCATCCACAATTTCAGGGTACAAATGAGTGAATGAGCTCAGGTAAAAGATGAGATGTGACGACTGCCGACTCACGAACATGGGCAGTGGATTGAGGCTGCACTAGCAAGACAGGAGAGATGAGATGGTCGGACTTTTAACTCCGTCGTCACTAGCCTCCGACTTCTACAATCTCATTCCTTCTCTCTCCGCCCGTAGCCAATATAATCAGTGAGATCAGCCTTTGACCCAGAGAGCTGGGTGTGCCAAGCTAATATTATTAATAGTGCAGTAGGGTTCAGAATCCCCCTCTGGAACATTAGACCCTGCTCTGAGTATTTGGTGCTGCTTGAGAGTTTAGGGCTTATCTATAAGGATAGTCACACTGGCTTAACTAAAGGTGTGAATTTAAATCAGTTTAGTTAAACTCCCATGTAGTCACTTATTTTGATTTAAGAATGGCTTCAATTCATCTTAAGTACATTGGGAACACGTTGAAGCTAAGCCAAAAATATACCCACTCTAACCAAATACGAGTGTCAACACAGGGGATTGCCCCGGTTTAACTACATCCGTGTGAGGGCGGGTCGACCAGGCCTTAATTGACTTCTTGGGTTATTAGTTTTCTTAAGTGTTACACTAGTTTCTTTCAGAGAGAATTTCAAAACAACTGACAGTCTGTACAGAGAATAATGCATAAAGGCGACAACGTATCATAGAACATTGTACTACAGATGTAGAGCCCATCTACATATATGGTGAAAAAGGTTGCAAAGAGCATGGAACACCAGGAAACACTGGATGGGTACTTTATCTGCACCAGAGGACACATGACTTCAGGCATTAATTGTGGGACTCAAGACAACACTTGGAAACAAGAGAACAAGTGTATTTAAATCATTAATGAAGTTAGACATTTGTTACCTCTACCTGGACTAGTATAATGTGCTCTATTTGCAGCTACCTGTTCAGACCACCAGAGGCAAGTAAAAGAGGGAAGCTAATACAGCAACTCCGAGTTAACTATAAGGTGTGCTATCCCTGTCTGCTCCAATATAGACAAGTAACTGTGGTTTTGTTTACATAGTTTTTCCTTTGGATTCTGTTAAGGGCCCCTATATTTCTACCTTTGCCTGAGATGGGCATAACTAAATACCAGGAAATGAACATACAATAAAACAAGGTATAAATATGCACAGTATGCTTTCATCATGCGTAGGGTGGGTGAAGCAGTGTTATAGGTTGTGCATTTTGCTTTATTAATAGAAAATGTATGACAGGGCAGATTCCATTATGCCAGGCAAATGTAGAAGAACAAAAGGATTACTATTTGACTTATGCAGATTAAGCATGAAAGCATTCAGTCACTCAGTTTATCTGCTGCCTCTTAGGACGTACTTCCATAGTTCTCACATTGACTTTGGGGTGAAATCCTGACCCTACTGAAATCAATGGGAAATGTTGCTATTGGCTTTAACAGGGCCAAGATTTCATCCCCAAGAAATTTGCCTGGAGAAATGGAGATTTTGATGTTAGTTACACTGTAGGTATAATCTGGCTCTGAAGCAGATGTTAACTAGCTTATGGACAATTTCCCTACTTTAAGATTTATCTTTTGGTGGCACAGTGCTGCCACCTGGGCTCTTCTATCACTGCCCCCCTGCTGCCAGCAGTGCAGGGGAAAGGGTGTGTGGCTGCGCCAGTCCCTGGCTGCATTTTCAGCCCCCTGCAGTCATTGAAGCCTGGTGTAAATTAAAGCAGACCTCCGAAGGCTCTCCCAATGTACAGGAGAACTGGCCTGCACATAAAAGCAGAAAAATCAAAGGCGTCCTTTCCACACCCTCTGCCTAACCCCCTAACTTGTGCGCTGTGCGGCTTAGCCACATCCCAGAAGCCGGTCCAAAATATTTTGCACTTGCAAACAGAATTAGGGTGTAATGAATTCTTTATTTTTTTAATTGATACAAAAATAAAACATATGAATATGAAGGCTATAATTATGTACAAAAAACCCAATGATGACACTGTTACAGAAACCCATGGTCATCTGCAAAATCTTAGCTTGCATTTAGTCAAACAGATTTTAAAATAGTGATTTAACCAAACAGGAAAGGAAAGTATCTATTTTTATAACATCATAGAGAGACGATAAAAACCTTACATAACATTAAAGCTGATCTTTCAAAAGGAAAAATCAAGGCCTAATTCTTATTTATAAAAAGGCCATTCTACACTGCTCAGGTAGTACAAAGGGAACGTTAACATTCATGCCCATTTAAAAGCCCCATCCTTTACATTGCCAAAGCAGAGATGTGGCCTTAGAGGAAATGAGGAGTGGTTGGACCTGTAGTTCCCACAACAGCTATAACACAGCTCCCTTGTGCATATAGGAGACCTGATTCAGCTCTCTCACACACTGGTATCAATTAGAATAACTCCACTGAAGTCAGTGGAGTTACGAAGGTGTAAAAGGCACAAGTGAGATCAGAATAAGAACAACAGGACAAAATTCTGCCCTCAAATACAACCCTGTACCTGGTAGTGCAGAACTGAGCCCACCGTATTTTCTTTTAATGTAGACAGGGCCTGATTCTCCTCTGCATTACTCCAGTTTTATGCCAGTGTGATTTCATTAAAATCAATGGCATTGCACCAACATACAACTAGAGTAATATGCTGGTTTACATTTGTTCTGAATTGGATACAAATATCTGACGCAGAATTTTGATTAAATACACATGTACGTCTTTAGGCACAGCAGATCAGTACATGGACCCAATGCAGGAATACACTTGATTATGTGTGTAACTTTAAGCCCAGATGCACTCCCATTGACTGCAATGGAATTACTCAGACTTAAAGCGGAGCATGTACTTAAGTGTTTTCCTGAAGCAGGGCCATTGCCACTAAATGAACTATTTAGTCAAACAGTGGAACAGAGCTACTGTACAGAATATTTTAGCTGGTTATTCATGGGGGGCTGTGCTGTAATAGGGCTATAGTAAACCCTGTAATATAAGGATGAGTTTCCTCCCAGTATTTTACACTGGAGAAAGTGAAACCAAATACTTTTAGACTTTAAAGATGCATGTTGTCTCTTTACTGAAGAAATGTTGGAAGCAGATGTATCTTACAACTCTGAGCAGCAGAGATTTAGCTGACAAATGCAGCAATGGCTATGATCTGTAGTAGTCCCTCAAGCCCATACGTAAAAAGAAGAATAGCATTAATAATGACGTCTGCTTTTAGCACGTAAGTCTCCCACACCAGGAAGTAGACAGACAACATTATGCTGCCAACAGTAATCACGAGACTGACCCCTAGTGGAACCTCTTCTTCTGTCAGGTTACCCTTTGTACCTTGAGGAGACAAAATGGTTACATGATTCTTTGACTGTTTACAGGGACAATGTCTTGGGTCCCACCCAGGAGAGCAGCTCTGTTCAGTAAGGGCACTTAAACACATGTTTAACTGTAAGTACATGCTTAAGACTCTTTGAAGTCTATAGGACTTAAGTACATGCTTAAAGGCAAGCACATGCTTAAATGCCTTCCTGAATCGAGGCCACTGACTGTAAGGTTAAGAACAAATCCAAAGACAGATGAGCACGGTCATTTCAACACGACCAGGATGGTAGTTTGGAGAAAAGACAATCTACCGGTACTCTAAGACTTGGTCTACACTACAGACTTATGTCGGTATAACCACATCGCTCAGGGGTGTGGAAAATCCACGCAGCACATGTAGACAAGCCCTACGCACAACTCCTACATTATTTCCCCCAGATTAATAGATTTTAAAGTTAGATGTGATCATTACGATCATCTAGTCTGGCCTGTTGCTTGAAAGGCCATTAAATTTCACCACATGGTTCCTGCATCTAGCCTGACAACTTGTTGACTAGTGCAGAGGTTCTCAAACTGTGGTCCACAGACCACCACTGGTCTGCGAGCTCCATTCAGGTGGTCCGCAGATAGTTCCATCTAAGGTGCGCGCCTGGGCGGCCGCACACAACAGAATGAAGGGCCACCCACTTAATTAGCGGAGCCGTGCAGGCGTGGCTCCACTAATTAGGTGCTTGGACCCTGGAGAAGACGCACATGTAAGGTGAGGTGGTGACCTTGGGGGGACTAGGGGGGTAGGTGGGAGGGGGTATGGGGTGAGAAGAGGGGGTGGGGGGATGTGCAGGGCTGCAGCGGCCAGAGAAAGAGGCAACTTTCCCCAGCTCCAGGGCTGTGGCTGCTGAGGAGAGACAGCCCTCCTTCCTAGCCTCAGCTCTGGGTGCTGTGGCGGAGGAGAGACCCCCCCCCTTCTCAGGCCCAGCTCGGGGGCTGCCGCGGCAGAGGAGAGAGGGCACATCCATCACATTCGAAAGGTAAGACTACTGATATTAAAAAATTAGTTGTGTGCTTTTATTTGTAGAACAAAAAAAGTTAATTATTAATTTTTTTTATATATACAGTGCTTTTATGCAAAGCGCTTTACAATAGTTAGCTAACGGTATAAACAACATTTGGAAAGATCATTAAGTGGTCCACCAAGACCCTCAGCAACTTTCAAGTGGTAAGTGGGGGAAAAAAAAGTTTGAGAACCACTGGACTAGGGTGTATCTTTATAAAGAGATCCAAATATGATTTTAATATTTCAAGTAATGGAGAATGTACCACGTCTTAGTCATCTGTTCCAATTGTTAAGCATCTTTGTTAAAATTCTGTAACTTATGTCCAAGCCAGTTTTAGGGTCAATAGTTTTGTTATTCCTTTTTTAATTGCCTCAGACTTGGAACTTATTTTTCTATTTATAAAATATTTTCATCGAACAGGCTCTGAGCACATATACAGAGAATTTACTTTTAGGCACATTTTAACTATAAAATGAAGACAATAGGCTAAATCCATCCCTGATGTAACCTAGCTGAATTCAGCAGCAGCCCACGGTGTATGCTGGTATAAATGTCTCAAGAACACCTGGCATATAAAAAAAATTAATCCCCAACCCCAACAAACACACACAACCCTTCGGACTGACTCAGTAATGCCTACAGTGGGGGTTGGAACCAAGGCTTATATGTCCCTTTATGCCACTCTAGCCCATTAACCCAATGGAAAGGGGCCATAGTCAAGGTGAGAGTCCCTCCTGCCCCATACCCTGCCCTCCAAGTGTAGTGCTGGAAATGAGGGCTGCAAAGAGGAGGGGTGTGGAACAATTGTGGCAGCTCTAGGTTGCTCAATTAAATCTTCTGTACTGGGTTATCGCTAGGGGCTATTTCCAGCCACTTGACCGCTTTTATGCTGCTGGAGCAGTATAAAGGAGCCCTTCAGTAGAATCAGGGCTTCTGTATTTTGAGCTTTATTCTCTCCCACAACATACATACTTATAAATAGCACAGCAGTACGCTAGTGTTACATTTCCAGCAGTTCTTGTTCTCTGTGAATCTGTCCCTTTTTAGTGGTACTTAAAAATTATATTTAACCAATATATAACTATTATCATTTGCCCTTCTGGCAATACAGATCAATCTATCAATTAATGTTTAACAACATACATGTTTAACAGTCTGTAAAATAATTGGTTATGCTGCTAAATCAGCAAGTTTTGACATCCACATTCATAACATGATTAATGTGTAAAGACTATGAGGCAAACATTCCATCTTAAAGTGTACAATGATAATTAAGATCAACATACCCAAGTATAATCGGATTGCTTCTAGAGTGGCCATAATGAACAGCAGCGCAAGATCGAGAGCCAAGTAATTATCCGGATAACTGAAAACTTGACCTGTTGAATAGCAAAGCGTAAACAAACCAAAACCACTAAGTACATCAAGTCATCACAATATAACACGCACACAACTGAGTTTTGTGTTTAGAATCTGTATAAAGTAACTTACTTTTATAAATAATCATTAGAAGCGTTGCCAAGAAATAAAAGATGTAATAAAATCCATTTAAATAGAACAGGATCTGTAAGGGAACAGACGACAGCTGACAAATGTTATTAAGGATCTGTAACAGTAATGCAGTCAATCTATTTTATAAACTATTGGTCACAGCATATTAACATCAAAATGTTACTATCCCTTATTTTCCATAGCAATCTATGCATGTACATGTTTATATTGGCACTTAAGATACCAAGGTGGTTGATATATTGGAAATACCTAAAATCAGTTGAGATTCCAAATACTATGAATTTAGGACAATAGCTTTTTGGTTTCTTGTCTGTTTTAATACTTAGTTCTAGCTAGATTAGGTGTTAACATGGCCCTCATTAGCATAGTCTCTGAGCACCTCACAATCTTTAGGATATTATCCTCACAACACCCCGGCAAGGGGGGGGGAGGGATAGCTCAGTGGTTTGAGCATTGGCCTGCTAAACCCAGGGTTGTGAGTTCAATCCTTGAGGGGGCCACTTGGGGATCTGGGGCAAAATCAGTACTTGGTCCTGCTAGTGAAGGCAGGGGGCTGGACTCAATGACCTTTCAAGGTCCCTTCCAGTTCTAGGAGATCAGATATCTCCATTAATTTAATTTTACAGCTGAGGAACTGATGCACTAGGCAAATAGTGACTTGCACAAGGTCACACAGGAAGTCTGTGGCAGAACAAGATCTTGAATCCAGGTCTCTTAAATCCTTGGCTAGTGCCCTAACCTCTGCATCAGCCTCTCTCACCAATTTTCCAGTTAGATCAATATTACAAGAGTGTGTATGTTGGGGAAAGTCTCTTCTAGCCAGCAGGCATGTATTTCATTTGTATTTTCTTGGTAGTCTGTTTCATTTGTTTATTACGCATTGTTTAAAGGTGGGAAAACCACAGGAGCCCAATGTGATCTACATTTCAAATGCTTCAGTAAAATATAGGCGCCAAAATCTCTGCTGCTGTCATGGAGTTGCACCTATTTCAACCAAGAGAGAATTCGGCATGGATTTCTAGTGGCCATTTAGTTCTATTGTACCCCAAGTTTAAGATGATATCAAGTTTACATACAAATTATTTTAGCGTTAGTGCCCACCCAGTTTTGGATGAGAAAACCTGCAAGTCATGGGCGTAGTCCAGTTCCCAAGCATGTAAGCATGTTAATTTTAATGAGGCAGAACTTGGTTTTCCTGTTTTTCTGGTTGAAGGAAGGTGGAGCAGAAATGCTGGAGAAATTCCAGAAGCAGAAGTCTTTGAAGAATAAGGTGTCTGTCTCTTTTCTTAGGAGGTTACCCCCCCCGAGGGGGGGGGGGGCGGAGAGTAGGGGGAAAGGGAGGGTGGAGCACCAGGAATTAACCAGAGAGGAAAGAGAGACGAAGAGCGTGCTACAATGCTCTTTTGGCGCCTCTTGTCAGCTATGTAATGTCAAGTCTCAGGGGTGTGTGCTGCATGGATTTCATGTGGCTCAGTCTACAAACCTAATTGTTTAGATTGTTAGTATGGACCAACCTGTCACTCCCTCCTTCTCCTCTAATCTCCCACATACACCTCTAAAGACGATGGATCTATGGTGACTGTTTTTTGTTTCAACTCTCTTTCCATTACTCCTCTACACATCACTGACTTAGGGTATGTCTTCATTCAGATAAACAGCCCCTGGCTTAACCTACCCTGGATGTGAGCAGCCACATTGCAAAACCATACCTGAGTTACTGCTCCACAATGATTCATGTGTTGCTAGGACTTCTAGGGGCATATCCCATGGTTCTTAGCATTGCTGTAAGCTGACTCACTCTATGATTCTTTCCCAGTAAACTATAAGAGAACTTGTCTGTCCTTTTCAACACATAGGGGAGAGGAAATTTTGGGAAAGCATCAGAGGAGTCGGACTGTTGGCATTTGACTGGTTTAGCCTGCGCCCTGATTGCAAAATGGGTGGGTTACCCAGTACCAGTGAAAGCAGAACTTGACCATTAGCCTATAGCACCAGACCAGCCAGCTAACCCAGGCTGAAAGCATAAGTATATTCATGCAAGAGGGCTTCATGTGTGTATGGGTGCTGCGGTAGCAGCAATAACCAAGTAGGAGCCTGGGATAACTCTGCTGTGAAGACATACCTTTAGAAGCTATCACCTACCAATAGTAGCTCAAACAGATGGTGTTGATGCCACACAAAAAAGGATACCAGTGAAAACTATGCTAATATAAACATTGTGCAAACTTATTAGACAGTGACCTTGCATGTCATCCCCAAGTGCAAGGGATGGGATGTCCAAAAGGATACAACTGATGAAGTTCTTCCTGCCCTCGGAGGGAAAATAAGGAATAATTAGGAGAAAATCAGCCTACATTTTTGCTACCAACAATGTTGCAAAATGCACAAATGACTGAAGTTTTTCCACATCAACTACTTCAGATTTAGAAAATAACTTGTTTTAGGATACATTAACCCTAAAGTCATTCTGTGAAACCTTCATGGAGAGAACCCACCTTCTCTGGTGTGTACATCTCTTTGAAAACTTTAAGCACTATATAGATACTAAATATTATTGTGTATCTGTACCTTCACAGCACTCATCATGAATCCCCTGATGACATTTCCGTTTCTGAACTGTACAAGAACCAGGGAAGCATGTGGGGGAATCAGAATATGTCATCTGTTGTTAAATTACAACCAAAGGTTGATTAAGTCAAACCCCTGGCCCCAACCACCACAATGTTGCCCTTATCCCCATCTCAAATGATAATTCCTTCTAACCACGCTCCTCTTACAACCAATCATTGAAAGCCCAGATAAATCCTTAACACAATGCAATTAAAAAAAAGAAATGAATGAGCCAAGCAATAATTCTTCTGAAAGTGTCTAATCTAACTTCTCTGTAAAACACAAATTTAAATTTTCTTGAAGTGTGGCAGTATTGACCTAATGAAAGCTCACTTGTCCATTGTTATCCACCTTAGCACTCCGTAGGTACATACAGAATTGAGAATCTCTTGTGAGTATTAGCCCCATTTTTCAGAAGGCAAAACTAAGGCACTTTGTGAGGCATTTTTCAGAAGGCAAAACTAAGGCACTCATCCTGCAAAGATTTATGCCTCTGCTGCTTAATTTTACACATTGACTTCAATGGGACTACTTACAATATGTAAAGTTAAGCTGATGTGGAAGTCTTTGCAGGATTGGGGCCTAAGGACTGGGCTACGTGCAAATTTTGTATTGATATAAATGTCAGTTAAGGGTGTGATTTCTTACCAAAATAGTTATACCAGAATAACCTCTAGTGTGGATCGCTTACTCCCCAAACAGGAAGAAGGGCTTGTCTACACTTGAAACTTTTTTCATCTTAAGGTAGAGTGTTAATTTAAAGTGCAATAACTCCATGTATGGATACCCTTATTCTGGAATAGCGATAGCTCTTATTCTGGAATTCCATCTGTAAACAAACCTAAAATACACCGTATGACGCATGGCCAGAAAGGGTTAAGCAGCTTGCAGGATAATTGACCCAGATTCAACTTTTAGGGACATATTGGTAGATAATGTTTGTGTTTTTGTGTGTTTACATATATATTGTTAGAGGTTAACAATGTAATTGAGAGTCCCGGTCTATGCTGTATTCTGTTAATTCAGACATCAAAAGGAAATATCATTTAAATGAACTGTAAACATAGTGATATCACTGTATTCATCTCTCTTTGAAATGTACAGCAAATCACCTGTGAATGGTGGAAAACAGGCAACTGCCTTATGTTAAGCCATGTAGCTAATTACCAGTGATGCTTAGGAAATAGGTCTACTTCAAAGTCTCCATGATTGCCTATTGTTCACCTAAGGACTCCAAGCTATCAAAAGAAGGCCTGGTACTATATTAAAATGTCTTGGGTCCTGATCCTTTTAATCTCAGATCTGCTTGATGCTTCACGCAGGGGAAGCTTAAGTCCTAAGACTGAGATCTCCAGAGTCCCATCTGGATCACCCTGAATATGGACATAGGACTACAGCCTTGGACTAATACTGAAAGAAATCTTTGCAACTACAAAGCTCACCATCTCTACTATGAATCTGATCTCAGAACTGTACTCATGTCTGTATGCATACTGATCTTTTAACCAATACTCTCTTTTCTTTTTTAATAAATTTTAGGTTAGTTAAGAAGAATTGGCTGTAAACACGTATTTGGGTAAGAACTGAAATATTCATTAACCTGGGAGATGGTGTGGCCGATCCTTTGGGATTGGCAGAACTTTATTATATGATGAATAAGATTTTCAGTAACCCTCATCATATTTGACTTGGGTGTCTGGGTGGAGGCCTAAGACTGGGTTACTTTAAGGAAACTGTGTTGTTGGCTTCCGAGTAACGGTAAAGTATTATAGAAGCGGATTTGTGCTGACTTGGTAAATCTAAGTATTGGAATATCCACCAGCTTTGGGGATTGTCTGCCCCATTCTTTGTAGTTCACCCTAATTGAGTAACCTCCGTATGACTCCCCTGGGACTCTGGCCACACACCTCTATAACTGACTCCTTATTACAGAGGTTGTAATACTTTAATTATACTGGGCTAGATAAAGCAGTACAATTTTTTGTATAGACAAGCCTTTAGGGAATTGCCCAAAGATCACACAGTGAGTCGGTGAAAGAGCTGGGTACAGAACCCAGAGCGCTGATTCCCAGTTCCCTGCTCTAACCACAAAACCGTATACCATTGTCATTAGCCCACAAGTAGGCATTAACCATATTCCTACATTTGTACCAAGGACAAATGATATAATACCTAATAACCCTACTTAGCATCTATAGAATCTCAATACATTTCACCAACATTAATTGCTTATGCCTGACAACACACATTTGTGAGATAGGTATTGTAATTATATAGTAATTAGTAATCTAGTAATAACATATCCATTTTCAATTATGAAACTTGACATCTAATTTTCAATTATTCTAAATTAGTTTAGACTGCCAAGTGCAAGATCACTTTGCTTTCAACGGCCTAAATAACGATGCTTAAATATGGGCCGACTCTATCTTTGATGTAACTCCAGTGAAGACAATGGGTTTATACCAGGTATGAATCTGGCTCACTAACTCCTGTTTTTCAAGAAAGGATACAAACATGGTGCAAATCCCACATTCATATATACGAGTGGGCTCTTAGGGGCATGGTTATCTATCTGCCATATTGTCCTGAGGGCCTATTTGCATGTACATATGCTTGAGGTGCATGTGCGTCTTAAGAAAACAGTTTTGAAAATTGTGCCCCTAGTGCCGGATCGTGCAGATACTCCATGAGCAGAATCCCACTGACTTTACTGGGAGTTTGATATACTGAACAAATACAGAACCAAGTGCATAAAGTCTGTTCCCAACAAGTGAGTTTTTTAAATGTAGCCCCTGCCAAATTTTCTTAAAGAACACTGTGCGCATGCATATTTGAAGACAGAATTTGGCCCATTTTCTACAAAACTGTTTCAGGATTCAGCATTTCTGATACCAAAAATGTATTATAGGTGGTGCAGGTAGCAATGCCTATAACTAGGTTTGCCCAACGCTTCCCATTATAAGACCTGTTTTCACTTACTTATATCTTTGCCAAACTTAAACCATTCAGGTTGAAACTTTCCATGCCAGGCATCTATCTCAAACAGATTTTTTTAACTTTCAGCTAAAATGGTTCAGTTGTTTTGGAGAATGAGAGCATGAAGAAATTCATGTTGTCCATGTTAATGAACTGGTTGTAAGATTATTATCATTTTTAAAGAAGCTTTCACACCTCCTTGCTTTGGATTGGGACTGGACATTTGACGGGGTCAGCTGCTGTCAGGAATATGCCTTTTGTTGTTGCTGTGACAAAACACCCAAGTAGGACCAAGTTATGAGTCACTGAAAAATCTCAGTTCACACGTAGTCAACTGAGTCTTCTTAAACGTTGGGTACTAAGTTCTCCACAGATTTTGTTTGTATTGCACATACTCCAACCCCTGGCAGCTCCTGTGTATGATTGGACAGCACATGCACCATCCCCACAGAATGACTGAGCACACTCTGGGAAGCTGTAGCAATAGTGTAAGAAAAAACAGTGTGTTATGTAATTAAATACTGTATCATAATGCATACACAAGGGAGCTGAACTAAGGTTGCATGACCATCCTTAAATCTGGCATTTCCCAACTTCTGAGTGCTTGACTTTGCAATCTTATTAAAAGAACATTGTTAGGCTTTTTTAATGAAGTACTTATAACAGTGAGAGAATAGCAGGTGTAACCGGATCTACTAGCAGCTTAGCACTCATCCAGCTGCACCGTTTTTAGCAGCTGCTATAATACAGATCTTACTTTGCTAGTATAGAAGTACGCCATGAGAAGAGGAGCCAGGAGTCCTGGGTTCTATTTCTAGCTAACTTATCAACTTGTTAATGTGACTTTGGACAAGCCAGTTACTGTCACTGGGTCAAATTCTGCTCTGTTACACCATTCTAAATCAAGGGAAACTCTACTTATTTGATAAGAGTCCTTCTGGATTTAAACTGATACACAGCAATATCTGGTCCTTTGTACTTGTTTCCACATATGTTAAATGAAGATAATTTACCTTTGTCACAAAGGTAGTGAGAGGCTTCACTCATTAGTGTTTGTCAAGTGCTTTGAAATACTCAGCAGGAAGGTGCTAATATAAGTATAAAATATTGTTATTAATCATAAAATGAAGGATACCCCACTCAGCAAAGGTCAGTTGGGAGGCTGGGTGTAACTGTTTACATTTCTTTTATTCATATTAAATTAAAATAATGAAAAACAATGTAATACTGATTAACTCGCTCTAAAAGTAGCCAGGAATGCTGTAATAAGCAAATTCTGCTACTACTGAAGTCAAGGAGAGTTTTGCCAGTTACAAAATGTATGGCATGGGACAAAATTTTACTGACTGATAGTTAATAATGCATTCATCCGTTGCTGCAGCAGTGAACTAGCTGTATCTCTTTCCCTTGCTTTACCTCATTGTATGTTATAGCGCTGGGGTGGGCAAACTTTTTGGCCCAAGGGCCACATTGGGGTTGCAAAACTGTATGGAGGGCCGGGTAGGGAAGGCTGTGCCTCCCCAAACAGCTTGGCCCCTGCCCCCTCCCACTTCCTGCACCCTGACTGCCCCCCTCAGAACTCCTGACCCATTTAACCCCCCCTGCTTCTTGTCCCCTAACCACCCCTCCCAGGACCCCCCACCCCCAACCCCTGCTCCCAGTCCCCTGACTGCCCCGACCGCTATCCACACTTCTGCTCCCTGACAGGCCCCCCGGGACTCCCACACTTATCAACCCCCCCCCGCCCCCCTGACCTCCACCTCATCCAACCGCCCCCTGCTCCCTGGTCCCCTTACCATGCTGCTCAGAGCAGCATGTCTGGCAGCTGCTCCGCCCGGCCGGAGCCAGACACTCTGCTGCGCTGCTCGGCAGGAGCGCGCAACCCTGTCACCAAGAGCGCTGCCCATGCAGCAGTGTGGCTGTGGGGGAGGAGAGACAGCGAGGGAAGGGGTGGGGGCTAGCCTCCCTGGCCGGGAGTTCAAGGGCTAGGTAGGACGGTCCCGCAAACCGGATGTGGCCTGCGGGCCATAGTTTTGCCCACCTCTGTTATAAAGTATCCCACATGGAGAACAAATTAAAAAAATATCCATGCTGTGTTATGCATGTTGCCAGAAGAACTCCTATAAAGAAAGCATGATAAGCTAGTCAGGATTCTGACAATTCAGTTATGCTTAGTGGGGTAGATTCACCACTAGTGCAGCGGCTTAGCCTCCCAAGCACATCTCTAGGCGGAATTCAGTGATAACGTTAGTAGAGCTGATTGGGAATTTTTCAACTAAATTTTTTAATTGGAAAATGCTGATTAATCAAAACTGAAACGGTCTGTGGGAAAATGGTTGGTTTTGATGAATTTCTTGACTCCAAAAAGTTGAAAAAAATCCAAATTGTCTAAACAAATCATTTTTGAAACAAAAAATTCCAGTTTTCTGGTTCTAAATGACTTTTTAGTTAGAAAAGCAAAACAGTCAAAATGGTCAAAATCAAAATGTTTTGATTGACCCAAACTGAAACGGGGTGGGGGGGTATGGTTTGGTTCAAGACAGTTTAAGATATTGGTCCAATTTGGGGGTGTGCCCCTACCCCAAGGTGGGGGCTGCACACAACTGAAGGGCAGACGTTGGAGGTGCTTGTGACCTCCAGTTGCTCCTCACATGTAGCTCTAAGCAGCCAACCTGCCCCCTTTGCTAAGAATTGGGATGCAGCAGTGCAGAGCATAGAGCCTCTGGCTCCAAACAGTCTAGCTGAGTTCAGCAAGTAAAAGTCGGAAGCAGGCAGGCAAAAGTTCCCACTAGTCTAGGTCTCCCTGGCGTGGGGAAGGGAGTCCGCGCCACTCCAGGTCTCTCCTGGAGAAAGGTGGAAGAGGTCCTGGTTTCTGGGGGGGCAAAAGGGGGAAGAGTCAGGGCAATGTGAAGGAGGGGAACCCCATATGCGGTGAGTCCCTCCTGGGCCCACTCAATAAAATTCTGGTTGTCCCTTTGCAGCCATCTGGTGCTTGCTCACAACAGGGGTATGCACTGGGGACTGGTGAGAATGAACCAGGGACAACCCTTTCTCTCCATCTCTTCCAGACACCAGCTAACCCCTGCCTCTTCCAGATACTCACCACCCATTGTACCCTTAGACACCCTCCATCTCTCTCCATAGGCAGCGAATTACATGGGTCTGTGGTGCCCATGCTCCACCAATATGTAGGAACGTGGGCCCGGCTCCATCAATGTTTGGGCTTACCGCGCTTTGGGGGGCCCTGTGCTTCAGGAGGACGCAGGGTCCAGAGTGACCTGGGGAGTTAGCAGGGGGGCCTGGCAGCAGTGAGTGTGGGAGCGAGCTGGGCTAAGACGAGCCAGGGCTCACTCAGCCGGTCTCTCCTGAAAGGGAGGTCGCAGTGCACTGCCGCGGCCCCCCAGCTCTGGGCTGACTCCGGAATCGCTTCACATTCCCTTCCCGTCTGAACGCTCGTCGCGGCTTGTTACGGGGCCATCCCATTTCTCTACCCGTTTAAGTTTCACACTGACCAGCGCTGCCCACCCGAGCCTGCCGGCCGCGGTAATAACCCCGATCGCCTCCGGTGCCGCGCGCCGGCTGGAGTTGATTGTCGCGGCGACGTAACCATGGCAACGCTGCAACAGAGGGACGAGGCCCATCATCCCGGCAGGGGCAACCCTTCCCCCCCGAACCCCGTCTAGCTGGGAACCGTCACCCCGCCCCACCGGCCACGGAGCTCGCGGTAACGATGGCAACGCGTCCGCTCACCTCTCCTAACAGCAGCCATGTCCGCCCCCCCCTCTCTCTCCTCCCTTCGCCACCCCTCAGTCCTCCAGCATCCCGGCATCCCGTGCGCCGCTCGGGCTTCGGGCGCTTTCGGCCATTGCCGCTTATTCTCGCGCGCTGTGAGGGCGGAGAGGAGCCCGCCACTTCCCCTTCAGCCCCGCGGCCTTCGGGCCGCCTCGGAGACCTTCGGGCGTCCCGCGCGCTCGGCCGGGTTCGTTCTGCTTCGGGCTGACTCGGGCGCTGTCCGTTCGGCTCCCCGGCCAGCCCGGCCATTCGGGTGAGATCGGAGGGGGCTCGGCTCGGCTCCTCGCTGGCAGGACTCGGGCAGGCTCGACTCTAATCGGCTCTAGCCTCCGATCGCCTCGGGCAGGTTCGGGTCCCTCCCCCCGCCCGGCTCGGATTGCTGTTCGGGCGAGACTGGCGAGGACACGGAGGGGTTCGGCTCCCCTCGGGTGCCCGGATCGGTCCGCATTCGGGTCACCCGGGAGGGGCAGGGGATTCAGTCGAACTCAGCTCCTTCGCCTGCAGCGGCATTCGGGCGAGCTCGGAGGGATTCGGTCAGGCTCGGAGCCGACACGGTACAGTTCGACTGCTCGCTCTCGGCAGTGCTCGGTTATTTTCGAAAGGACTCGGGATCGCTCGGGGAAACTCGGAGCATTCTGGGGTAGCTCCGCGCCCCGCCCGGGGATCTGAGAATCGGGCTCGTGTGAGATCGGAGAGGCTCGGGCCGGGCTCGGCTCCCGGCTACCGCCGCCTCGGGCGGGCTCGGATGGAGGACTCGGACTCGGCGGTGAAGCAGCTGGGCTTGGCCGAGGCGGCGGCGGTAGCTGCGGCGGCGGTGGCCGCAGCAGTGGCCGCGGAAGGATCCGAGCACCAGCGGTCGGAGGCGGCGGGCTTGGAGGCGGAGCCCGAGGAGGAGGAGGCAGCGGCGCAGGTGACGGCGGTGACCGTGATGGCGGCGGATGCCGAACACATCGAGATGGGAGCCGAGTCCCTGCCGAGCGCGGACGAGGCTGCCGCCGCCTTCGCAGGTCAGAGCGCATGCGCACGCGCACAGCGCGCCTGCCGCTCTGGCACGCGCTGCGACCGGTACCGCCCCGCGCGCGCCGGGCCGGCCCTTCCCGCCGGTGAGCCGGGCCCCGGGGTCAGCTACTCGAGGTCAGCCCCGCACCTCCCTCCCCCGCCTGGGGCGTCCCTGGACCAGCTCCCGGCAGGTCCCAGCGCTGGGGCTCGGGGCGAACCCGGGTCCTTTTGAGGGAAAGGGCCGCCTCGGTTCAGCTGCGCTGCTGGGTTTGACTTGCTGCTGTCCGCCGCTTTCCCCCATCCAGTCTGTTCCAGCCAGGGTGCTCGTTACCCACACGGTCAGCCTGCCACCACCCCCGTGCATCTTGTCAGTGCCACAAGACCTGACAGCCAGTCCTCCCAGGCCCCAGCCGAGATACACGGTTATCTTTGTTTTACAGCTGGGGAGCCAGACCGGTGAAGTAACTTATCGCAGGCCACACAGCAAATAAGTAGCAAATTCAGAATTAGAAGTAAATACTGTCAGACTCCCAACCTTTTGTTAAGGTTGCCAATTTTGGTTGGACTTATTCCTGGAGGTGTCATCACATGACATAGACTCCAGGATAACCCTACCTTTTGCTCAGTACTTCAGTCCACACTGCCTTCACAAAAACACCGAGGAGTACGGTGGCACCTTAAAGACTAACAGATTTATTGGGGCATAAGCTTTCGTGGGTAAAAAACCCACTTCTTCAGATGCAGTGGCAACATCCTGCCTTCACAAGTAAACTATACACCTTTTTCTCCCTTGAGTAAGAGACTTCTTTCTGCACATCAGATCTTGACTTTGACCTTCTGCTCACTGTGGGAGTTTTGCCTCCTCAAACAAATGCAAAATATTGGAGACAAGATCTGCCATGCAGCCAGGAGCGGAGATTTTAGCCCATGATCAGGCTTGATAGAATTCAATTTTAATTTTTTACATAATTTCAGTGGTTAATATCAATGTTTTTTTTTAATCTATTCAGATTTTCATAGTTGTGAGAAATTAAGGGAGGGATCAGACAGTAATTGTTTAGTGACAATAGACATTGAGATTCAAAAAGTAAAGCTTTACAACCATTAACACAAAAATTGTGAACACCACACATCGAAGTATACAAAGTAAATATCCTTAAATTGTAATAAGCTGTCAAGCAGCATATTTCTTACTTTGCCTATTTGTAAATTACAATTATGCTTAAAATATTTTTCATCAGTTTGTGTGTGAAAAGTAAAATCGATGTTTACCGATAAAAATCTAATATGTCCACGATTACCCATAATTAGCTGTCAATCTTGATGCACGGCTGTCTGGGTGTTGTTTTTCATGCCTTTCCATTCCCGGAATACAGAAATCTTTTTTTGGGTGTATGCCATAAAATATGGCAGCAGGATTCAACCTAAGTATTCTGTATGTGCTCTGAACAGCTGTTCCTTTACAAATTTTGTATGTATAATTCTAGCAGTGTCGGTCCCAGGATATTAGAGAGACAGGACCTGAAGAAGAGCTCTGTGTGGCTTGGAAGCTTGTCTCTCTTTTTGACCAACTTTTGTTGTAGGACTTACTTTGTGAAGCCCCACATATATACCATACAACACCCATCTTGATTCCCTTAGTTAAGAAGCTAAGTTTTCATAAGGGTTTGTATATATCTTGTACTTTATGCATAAACAGAAGTTGGTATAAACCATGAGCATCTATTAGCTTATACCAATTTTTCTTTAAAAGCAA